TGACTTGGTAGCCCAAGGGACTTCCAGTCCTTCAGGGTGTTATAGGTTTTCTTTGGTGAAATAAGACCTTTAGTAGTTAATATCAAACTTTGTCTCTGGTTGTGGGTACTTTGTTTTTTTCTCCCAGTTTTGTGTTGGATTATTTGCTTTTCCCACCACTTAAACCATGCACTGGAGCTAATTTGTTGTCCTTTGCTTATTTCTAAAATGGGGGAACTTCCTATGGAGACCAGTACTTGAGCTCTGTGGTTGAGCTAAATTGTTGCTTTGCTGCTGATTCCCTAGGGAAGGCTTTTTGTGCAGCTCAGGTTTTAATGGTTGACTTTATAGGAACTTCCAGGTTATTGAAATCTGGTGTACCTGGGTTGTATAGAAACTCTGGTCTGGGCCTGAGTCTTTTCATCCATCTGCACCCCATGCAATTCTATATTCCTGACCAATCTCCTCTGAGTGGTTCTGTGCTGATTGGGGGTCAGATCAGCTGTCCTTGCTGTATCCCAGTTTTCCCCCAGCCAACACTGTGTTCCAAACACTTCCCATGGGGCAGGCCATGCTCTAGTCCCTTGCTGTGACTCACCAGCCTCTGAGCTTTTTTTCAGTTGTTCTGGCTCCTCACTCCTAGGTGGGTCTACGGGAACCGTATTAGTGGTCTTGCTGGCCTGGGGGCCACCAACGCCCTCTTCTCCCCTGCCACCTCCAAGCAACTTCATCTGAAGGGCACAGCTGCGGCTTTTGCCAGCTCCTGCTCTGTGTGCTCAGCAGCTCCAGCCTGGATGCAGCCAGGACTTCAAACAGTTGGAGCAGTTTTTTCTTTCTCTTATCGTGGCTTCTCCCACCTTCATGCCCTCTGTAGGTCTCTCTTCCTCTTCCCCTGAGCCCTAGCAGCCCCAGCCTGGCTGTTGTTGCTTTTTTATAGGTGCAAGTTGGTTGATTTGTGGGAGAGAGTGATGCTGGGGACCGTCAATTTTGCCATCTTGTTCAGAAGAGCAAAACATATAATTTATACTTTTATTTTGGCATTTCCTGTGACAGGGTACAAAATAATGTAATAGAAAAAGACTCCACTGAGCATTAGCAGATCAGAGCCCTGGTCCAGGCTCATTGTATTCACTGGAGACCAGGCAGGGATGTGAGAACACATTGGTCCTTGGGTTCCCAGTGCTCAGGCCCCCAACTGGAACACAAGAGGGAGAAAGATCAGCCCAGAAGTCCCTCCTTGTTTTTAAATTATTTGATTCTCGGTTTCTAAAAGTATTCACTCTTTATCTGTTGCCTAATCTAATACTAGCCTGAAAAACTGGAAAATGTTCAGAATGTAGTGTGATATTGGCTTTGGCCAATAAAGTAAGATAGATACATGATAAGGAAACAAACAAAGTACAACAACTATTTCAACAGATATTTATTTGGCACCTACCTTTCTAGGTATTGTGACAAAATGCAAAATGTCATGGAGCTTATATTCTAAATGGTGGGTGGATGTAGACAATAAACTACATAAATGAATAAAATATGTGGTTGGTCACATGGTAGTAAGTGCTGTGGAGAAAGATAAATCGGGGTGAGTGGGACAGGGTAATTCTAGAGGGGAAGTTGGCAGTTTTATATAGGACATCCAGGGACAACTTCCATGGAAAGATACAATTGAGTGAAGACCTGAAAGAAGTGAGGAAGCAGCTCTGAGGATACATGTGTGTCCTCCCATAGGGGTGGAAAACTACTGAGAGGTCTTGAGAAGAGGAGCACTGTCATCTGACTGAGTAGGCTCACTCTGGTCACTGTGTTCAAGGTAGGCTGTGACAAGGCACGGTGGACACAGGGAGACCACTTAGGAAGCTATTGCAAGAATCCATGCAGGAAAACAGGTGAGATGGTGAGAAGTGGTTGTATTTGAATATATCATGAAAGAAGGAGTTGCAAGATTTGCTAAAGGATTGGATGTGTGGTGGAAGAGGAACAAAGGCTAATGCCAAGTTTTGGGGGCTGAAATGGGTAAAGACTGGAGAAAGGACAGGTTTGGGGAGAAGGAAAACCAGGAGTCTGGTTTGGGATGTTTGAGAGCCTGTTAGATGTCCTGGTGGAGCTGTCAAGTAGGCAGTTGTTTACACAAGTCTAGAGTTAGAGGTGAGGTTCCAGGCTAGAGTTATAAATTTGGAGATTATCAGCATATAGATAGTCTAAATGACACGAAAGCATGAGACTGGATGATATCACCAAGAGAGTGCAGATAGAAAAGAGGCCCAAGGGCTAAGCACTAGGAGAAATCCAATGCTAAGAATCTGAAGAGAGAGCAGGGTCCAGCCAAGGAAATGAGAAGTGGCTACTAGGGCAGGAGGAAAACTGCGAGAATGTGGTGGAAGCCAAGTGAAGAAAGCATTTCAAAAGGGAGGGATTATTTCTGGAACCTCAATAGAAAATTCTATCCGCAAGTCTTGATATTGGTGAGGATGTCATATACAGTCATGTGCCACATAACGACATTTCTGTCAACAATTGATTGCATATACGATGGTGGTCCCATAAGATTACAATGGCTTTACCATACAGCCTAGGTGTGTAGTAGGCTACACCATCTTGGTTTCAGTAGGGACACTCTATGATGTTTGTAAAATGACAAAATTGCCTCACGACACATTTCTCAAAATGTATCCCTGTCGTTAGGCAACGCATGACTATATATACACTGACTTGACTGAAGGCTATTTATAACAACACCTAGTGAGAGCATATTTGTGTTATTATATTCCTAATAGAATTTAGTTTTGAAACATGTGGTATTTCATATTTTCCACACCGTTCCTCACCTCCATCTTCACAAATGATTATTTCTAATTGCTGTTAGGGTTTTTTTTTCCTTACAACATGGAGATATTATCAAGATCAGCATGATTGCAAATGGAAAATATTATAATTCTCAGTGATGTGGGTTAATGGAGCAGACTGATTATGAATCATTTGTTAAACTAGAGACTAAAAAAATACTTCTATTTATTTTAAAATGTTGAATTTACATTGGATTATGAGTGTGTAATATTCTGGGAACTCATGGCACATTATAAAATGAAGCTGGTCTGTGAATATATTCATTATAAGAACATGCTGGCCATATTTTCTTACTTGAACCACCTTCCATCTCAAATTCTGGCTAAGAAATCTGGCTTTCCTACTCTGATGATAAATAAAGGTGTTTTATTGAAATCACTGTTCCTGGTAACTGCACTGAGGGAAGGAGAAAAGAAATAAATGTAATTCAGTTGACAGCCTTGAGATATAGACATCCCGTCTCCATGCCTTTTAGCTTTTACTGGATATCAGCCTGCCAGTCTAATAAGGTAACAAAGAAAAGTAAACAGAAATGGAAAGCAAAATAAACCGCAGTCTTTATCCCACTGGAAATAACCATAAATTTAAAAATGCAATCTTGGCTATATCGTAAAAGGATTTTCTTGGTCTGTTTGCATAGTTGTATTTTATTCCATTCCAAACTAATCTGGACTTTTTTAGAGACTTTTATTGTACACCAATCTCTTTTACCCTAAAAATCTTTTGCAAAACATTTCTTCAGAAAAATGTGCTGTATATATGCCATGTGGTGTCATCATAACATACCCAAATCTATAGGCTCTAATCTACAGGCAATTCCCAGCAAAGAACTAGGCAGTGTAATTCCTAGGACTTGTGTGCCCACAGATGTACTGTGTAGACACACTGGGACAATACACTAAATATAAGTGATAGGGGCTCATCTTGGATATGGGTAGCTTGTATGTTGCCTGGACTTTATTGATTAATCTTCTACATTAAGTTGCATGTCCTGCTAACCCATGTGCACCTGTCTCCAGTGCCTTGGTCTGTTTTACAGCTTTCTGCTGGCACTATCTAATAAAAGCTATAAAAAGAAAATGTTTCCTTTCCATTACAACAGCAAAAAAAATGTCAAGAATGAAGCCACAAAAACACCATGCCACATCACAGGTTTCTTCTTTATAGTAAGTCTGAATGCAGTTAGCATCAGACCATCACATCAGGTCAAAGAGCATAGAGTTTCTAAACCAAACCTTCTTTAGACTTAACATTTAAATACGGCTATTATCATGAAAAAAAAGTAAAGTAAGAAATAAGGTATAATAAGGTACGCATAATTCCTAATGTCAGATAGTTCTTGATTGACATAATTATTCAGTTACATTTATAGCCTATATTCTGTATGAACTATTATTTTGTTAGACTGTAAGCTGTAAAGATTAGGAATCAAGATATCTTAACTCGGTTTTATATACTCTAACACAGGACCATAATGGGAGAGATATAGTCATTCTTTGACGTATCTATTTACTTTTATTGCCACGTGGTACAAGCCCACTGGGATCATATTTTGAGAGTAGAAGAAGGGAGGAAATGATGCGTTAGACTGTAAGCTGTAAAGATTAGGAATCAAGATATCTTAACTCGGTTTTATATACTCTAGCACAGGACCATAATGGGAGAGATATAGTCATTCTTTGACGTATCTATTTACTTTTATTGCCATGTGGTACAAGCCCACTGGGATCATATTTTGAGAGTAGAAGAAGGGAGGAAATGATGCAATGTCTATGGTCACTGTTCACTCAAGGGTATCTAGATCCACTTCATAGGTACTGTTTCAAGTTTTCTTTTTCAATATGTAAAGAGGAATAACATAATAGTACCAGCAGCCTTCACCACCTCTTCCACCAGCTTAAAAAAACACAGGCACACTTATCTGTTGCTGCCACTCTAGACTCTCTTGAGATTTTGCTAGACCCCAAATAAAGATCGCAGACTCACACCTGCTGGGCAATCAATCTACAAATGCGTGGAACTCCCAACTTGTTTTTCACACCAAGACTCAGAAAATTCTTCAAAAGCCAATAGTCAGTCACTGGCCAAGAGGAAGAGCTTTCCAGAACTTGAAATTTTTGTTTAATTGAAATAAATTTAAAATGTCCAACAATTTGGTTTCATCCCTTTTGTTTCAGGTACAGAGCAGTTGCCTCCTGGAGTCGTGTTCAGGGAATTGGGATTCCCTTGATTACTGCCATTGAAATTGTCTCCATCTGGGTCCTTTCCTTTATCCTGGCCATCCCTGAAGCTATCGGCTTCGTCATGGTGCCCTTTGAATACAGGGGTGAACAGCACAAGACCTGTATGCTCAATGCCACATCAAAATTCATGGAGGTACTGATGGCTTAAAAGGAATTAGCTGGGGAGGGGAGGGGAGGAGGTCTTCATTTGTACTTCACCATCTTAAGACTTGTTGGCATCTCCACAATGCCAAGTGTGGTTTACTCTGTCAGTTCAGTCAAGTATCCTTCGGTTGCATGAAAAGTAGACATTAAACCAGGTTTAGCTTCTTGAATAGAACAACTATTTTGCTTCTCACACTTGCATTGTAGCACAACTGTGGACACAACTGCTGTTCTGCACCGAACAACTAAGAATTCTTAGGAAAACTTATTAAGAAAGAGGGAGTAGATGTGTATGTGAATGCCATTTATTTTTATAATAAGGAATACAGCACAATAATTTCCACCTGACAGACATGCTCATGTTTATTTTGTGTCACTTGGAGAGATGTATATTGCTCACTTACATTTTTAAAAAATAGGTCTTCTAATTTAAACTAGGGAATAGTGTTTACACGTACCCTACTTACGTTAGTATAGATTCTATGTCTAATATACAAATAATATAAAATGGCAGAACTTTTTAAAAGAATGTCTGGTTTAACCAATTCAGTTTTTTTTTAATACACTTGATCACATTAATGTTTCTCTGGAAACACACAACCAAGTGCTTTCAGAAACCTGTTTAAAATTCAGGTTTTCTTTGCAAAACTAGTTACATGTGGACTGAAGAGGAAAACCAAAAGGATAACTATTTCTCTTAAATCAGCATAATTTAGCTTTGATGTAAGTTTCATGCAGCTCAGATTCCATATCTAATTGTTTACAGACATCTCAAGGTATGTTTTCCTAGCTCGGAAAATTCACAAAATTAGTGGTTTTACAGTTGATCTGTTATCCTCAGAAATTCTTGTTTTAAAATTAAACATGCTCATGAAAACTGCCAAAGTGGCAACCTTAAAATTGAAGTCTTCTGTTTATCAATGGATTTTTTTTATTAGGTCAGTCTCCACAGTGAATAACAAAGTAGACGGTAGGAGGTTACCAGAATGCGGGCAGTGTGAGTAAGCAATCTAGATGTTCCAGACTAAAATGTTAGAGAAAAGAGGCTCCATGTGAGAAGGAGTTTACTAGTCATTACAGCAGGACAAAGTGAAATGGGTTACTTCATAAAGACTGAGTCCCATGCATAGAAGTTTTCAAGTGGTGTATTAGTCCGTTTTGTGTTGCTCATAAAAGAATACATGGAACTGGGTGATTTACAAAGAAAATGAAATTTATTGCTACAGTCTCTGATGCAGAGAAGTC